CGTCTTTTAATTTCATGGCTGCAGTCTCCATCTGCGGTGATCTTGGAGCCCAAATAAATGAAGTCTGTTACTGCTTCCATTTCTACCCCTTCTATTTGCCAGGAGTCTCTGAATACTTTTGCCCTTCCAATAAGATCTGGCAGGGTGGGAAGGCTCTGGGTCATATCATTCAAGCAGTGTCCTTTGGCGTGACCCAGGAGATGTGACTTCTCTGCACCTGCCCTATGGAATATCTTTCCCCCTGAGATCCAAGTGGTCCTGATCTTACCTGCCTTTCAGAAGGCTCCTAAGATCTGGCTTTTCCACCAAGGATTGGACATTTTGTGTGTGTCTTAACTATTTTTGACTCTTCTGGTTGGATGAAGTTGCCTTGTGCTTGATATGTTTTGTTTTGTTTTGTTTTAATTTTTTGTTGCCATTGATTTTATTGTTTTTTTAATTTTTGTTTTACCATTATTGTATATGTTACTGGGAATTGGGCAGTATATACATTAGATGATGATGATGATGATGATGTGTTATTATTTCTATGTGTGCCAGCCTGAGTCATACATTGATTGGGCATCTATATAATTACTAAATAAATAAAATAGATATGCTTAGTGATATTTCTGATGGATTCTTGAAGAGGCAGAAAATAGAACATCTGAAACATGAGCAATATTTTAAGTTCCACATCTACTGTATTTATATGAACTGGACATAGAATACATATTGCAATAATTTTTTTCAGCAATATTATTACAGTATTAATAATAATCTGATTGTAATAAGGATTTGTGACTTGCAAAGAAGCTTACAAAACTATATTGGACATATTAAATGCACCTGGACTAATAAAATAAAAATTATTAAACAAAGTTTTTTTTATGTAATAAGACTCCCAAACAATATTAATGAGGGGAAGCAGTGTTTTGGTATGTAGCTTTCTCATAGTCAAGCCTTTTCTTCTTTTTAATTTAGTTACTAGTATATATTTTCAATGATTAGTGATAATATTAAAGGATTTCTAATAGGTAGAAAAAACAGGGCAAAAACACAGGGAGAATCATTTAATTCTATATCACACATGCTTCCAAACACAGATTGATGTTCTTATCATCCAGAAATATTGAGGCAACAATTCATTCTCTAACTCACTCTTTGTTCTTTTATTTCTTGGTCGTGATGTCAAAACATTTTTTGCTTCCAGTAATGAAACAGCTCTATTTTCTGGGCAAAATATCAAGTGCATTTAAGTGCAGAAGAATGGCATTAAAGACTACGATGCAAAGACTACTCTGATTCTAAAAATCATCTGGAGAAGCTACCAACTACCAATGTGCTGATGCAAGATTAAGAATTATTCCCAGTATTTATGTCAACCTCTATTGACTCTAATGTCTTAATGCTAAAAGCAACAGGACAACTAAGCAGTCTGACTGTAAAATTTGCTATCCTGGTAAATTTGATTAATCTTTTGATTATAATACTTACTTGATTGCTGTATACTTACAGAAATACATTCCCAATATACATCTATGGACAGACATGTCTGCTGGAAAGATCTATGTTGAAAATCATGCTCATCCATGAACTTCCAATTCCTAATTTGGACATACTGGGCTGGATCCAAATGAAAGCATGTTCAACTAAACTGACAGCACTGGATTTCCCTTTGGCCAACAGTTGCCTCTTCAATTCAGGCAACTGAAAAAAATCCAGGGACACTACTTAATGGTATATGCTATAGGCTGAGGTGGGATCTCCAACTCTACTCTGCTTACCTTCCAATCTTCAGCAGCCTTTGCGGGGAAGGCAGAAGGACTACTATACAAAGGACTAGGTGAAGAACTCCCCAAACTGTGAGGTATAATAGAGAAGCCAATCATGGATAAATATAGACAAACTTACATGCCAAGCTGTAATCAATGTAGAGTTGGAGAGAACTGCCTTTCGGAGCTCTTCCAAGATGGCATCAGGAAGCTCTTTGTGAGACTGCAAAAGTGGTTTGCATTGAACTTGCCTTAGGAGCAGGTACCACACTGGCTGCTCAGGAAAAATGTTTAATCCCTAGAGGCAACAACCACTTTTTAGTTGCACGCAGAAAATAATTAGAAATCACTTCACAAAAAAGCAGAGCAGTTATTCTAGCAACACAATAAGTCAAGAATCCAGTTATTTCAGTTATCAGTAAGCAAAAACAGGAGAGATAAGAAATGGTAAACCAGTGATTCTATATTTTATTTTGCTGAAATCAAAATGTCTTCACAATGCTCAAAATAAGATTCCCAGCACATTTTGATAAAGCAGCTGTGTTGGTTCCATGTTTCATGTAGAGAAGTTGTAACTTTAAGCATGTTTTACTGGCAATTGATGCATGAATAACTGCAATTCAATTAACTTCTGACTTTTACAAAATTGTATTTTTGCATTTTTTGTGCTATTAATGCTGCCAATTTTATTTTGGTATTTTTAAAACTGTGTTCATGTTTTGAATTATTTGTAATCCACCAAAAGAACTTAGATAGAATATTAGAAGATTATAAATATAATAAAGTGTATCAGAAGCAACTACTAATTGCAACTTACTAACCTTGTTACCTGCTTCTTTTTAATTTACAGTAATCCCATGAGAAACCTAATGAACTAGTGAGGAAGGGAAATTATGCAGAAGGATAGTAAATTAAAGACAAAATATTTTCAACTTTTACAGACAAATCCAAAGCGAATCTCAGTTTTTCTACTGAAGGCAAAACCAGTACTGTCACTGTTGTACACTCACCATCACTTTTCATATGGTTTTAGTGAGATATTCTAAGGGGGCTTTCACTTTTGTCACAGAAAGTGATCAAAATATTAAGTATATAGGAGAAAGTCAGAATAGTCTGGACCCAACCCTAGTTCTATTCTAAGCATAATAAGCAATCCCATTTCAATCCATTAAGTAGAATGGATATTTCCATTTAGAATGGAATCTGTGATTTTCCAGATTTCTGAAATTTAAATTATGGGAAAAGATTAAATAAAAAATCTAAGAGATACAAAGGGGAAGTATGAATTAAGAAATCCTTAACATGCAAAGGTTATTATCTAATCCTGTATATTTATTTAATGTAAATTCCATTGCATTTAATTATCATTCTCAAGTGTACAAAGATTGTGGCCTAAATCTATGATAAAATGGTAAGGAAACGGGGCACACACACTCTCTCTCAGCTGGCTTTTACGAAGCATCTTGCTTCCTTCCTTGACTACATAGAGAAAACATTTCCAGATATGGTACAATATATACTGTACCATATATTGTGTACAGTATATGGAGCACTCCACTGATAGCATAAAGCCACTTCTATATCACATCTTTTGGGTCAAGCAGTCAAGTTGGTATGCACAATATCTGCAGTAATTTTTAACAATCTGGATCAGACTTTTTGAGTAGGCTTACCTAAAATACAAGATTCACAGCACAAAGCATCTTAACATTAGTCATACCTTTTCACAGAAAGCCTCAGCTTCTGAAGTTCTACCTGCCTCATTTAAACCAGTAATAGCTTGGAAAAGAGACCACTCTTCAATTTCTTGAGCTTTGGAAACTGGAAGATCCTTTTCTTTCGCTACAAAGCATGTGAAGTTCATTATTTCACAATATCCCATATATTAATTCCAAGTCTTTATAACAAAAAGTATATTATTCTAATCAGTAAAAAGAATATAGTTGTTTTTACATGAAAGCAACACAAATTTTAAAAATAGATAACTGTGTTTCAAATTGTAAAACATTCAGCACTGTGACAGAAGAATTTAGCCTTGGAAAGTTGATAATTGAGATCCCCTATTCCCCACTATCCTCTATTCCTCAGATTTCAACTCTTTAGGAACCTTTACCTTTGAGTTCAAGCATCTTGCTGCTGCTACAATCAACAATGGAAAGAAATTAAAGAAAGCCTGACTTTATTACAGTTGTATAAGAGAGTAAATTTCCTAATCTGTAAGAGACAGTTCACTGTTTCCCAAAATAACTAATAGGATGTTGGTATGTAATTTGTTATCTGAGCTACTGACATATTTGATCATCAGGAAAGATGATCATCATTGGTTGAATTAAGCTCTTACATTTTTACTATGTAACTAAGGTGTTTCTTTTGCTGTAAGACAATTGTTTTTGTGGCCTGTAGAAAGAGTTTAGTTAGAATGGCATTTGCTATAGGAGTTTTGTATTTGCAAGAGGACTGTCAAATAAAGGAAAGTACAGGTAGTCCTCAGTTAATGATGGTAATTGGGACTGGAATTTCTGTCACTAAGCAATGTGGTCGTAAAGCATGATGTCACATGACCACGCTGCTTAGCGAGGGAAATTCCAGCACTTCCAGTTGCTGTCGCTAAGCGAATCTAGTGCAACTTCATGTGGTCGCCATTTGCAACTTGTAGGAAGCTGGGACAGATTAAAAATGGTGATCATGTGATTGTGGGATGCTGTGGCATTGTAATTGTGAGCTGGGCACCAAACAGCTGGATAATGATCACATGACCATGGGGATGCTGTGACCATTGTAAGTACAAGTACAAAGTACAAGTAAGTACCACTTGTTCAGCAAAGTTGTAAGTCTGAATGCTCGCTGAACGAGTGGTCGTTAAGCAGGACCACCTGTACTGGAACGATGCCCCCCCATCTGAAAATGATATTGTCCCACCTCATACTATGTGAGTGCTAGAAGGACCAAAGTCAGATGCAAAGAACCTGAGACTAAACAGGTCCATTACTATACAATGTACAGATGTCAACTTCCTAACACTCTACTGCCATATCTTCCCCAGCAAGTCAACCAAATTGTATACCATCTTTGCCAACAGTGTTTGCAATGATTGTTTAAGAGCATAACATATGTAGAATCTCTAAGTTTTGCACAGTTTTTTGAATTATCTTTAAGGAATAGAGCATTCTTTTCTATCTACATTGTATAGACTTTGCTGCAGCCCTATGCACCAATATTCTCATTAATGATCATTTCAGTTAAATAAAACAGTAAGAATAGTTGTTTTGTAAGAACAAAAGGGGCCTTACTCTTAGCTGAGATTGTGGTGACAATCATTTTTTCCAAATGTGTCTGCTTCGGCTGCTTATTATGCAGATGAACAACTGTGTTTTCTGCATGGCAAGCAGCCAGGAGTACTGCCCAAGCTGCAGGATCATCTGAAATGAAATGAATACAAGGAAGATGTCATTTTCAAACGATGCCACGAAACTGTTGAATAGTTAAACAAGTGGATGTACACAACAATATAAAACTTAAAAGTGTAAAATTAATATATCACCACATCCTGCATGCCTGAGTCACATACAAAATTCTGTTGTTAGATGTTAATTATTGTTTAGGTACTTATTTTGTAATGATACAGAACCTAAGAGCAAGTTACATGTAGTACTTAAAGGGTAGTAAAATTGGTTTATTTAACCTTGTCCACAAGGGGTTTCATAAGGTCAGAGAAGGCACTGAAGGCTTTCAGAAACAGAGTGCTCTTGTGAAACAATTTTAAGTATCAGGAACAATATTGACAAATGCATAATCACAGAACCAAGCATGAATGTTATTCTTTTGCCTTGGATTTCAGTTCTCATTCCATGTACATGCCCTAAAGGTTGAGACACTGTGTAAAAGTTTGGAATGATGTAATAAACATTAGAAACAAAGTATACTGTCTCTCAACTATCTTCAGAGTTTGCTATTAAAATCGCAAGTACAAATTAAATTTGACCAAGCCATTAAATCACAGCTAGCCAAGCTCACATATCAGCATTTGTTCTCTTGGTTTTCCTATGTAACCAATCAACAGTGCTTGATAGAAGTGTACACAAATCAGAAAATGTGTATTCTTTTGAACACCAAACAAACAGCATCCAGGAACCTCTGCCGAATCATTTTGATCAGCTACAGTTCAGTAGAAACAAAACCCACAATGTTTTTATTCCAGATCTTGTAAAACATAACCCATTGGGATATCAGAGTGATGTTACAAGGTAAACAGAGTGATGCTGTTGTACACTGCACCCTCTCCCCTCAACAGCTCCTAGCATAGTATGTCTCACTAACCTGCCCACTCTCCTTATCTTCCCAGTGTCTTCTGTTCCCTCTCCTCTACTGCCAGTGCCTCAAGTGCAGCAGATTCTACTGTCTGACCTGCCCCCTTGAACATCCCAGTGCCTTCACTTCCCTCCTTCCCATAGCCACCATAAGCATCTTTGGCTTTTTTCCACTCTTACCTCCCCTACTACTTCTATCTGAAACAACTGGGTTTTGTCCATATCCAGAACAAGAAGAGCCCCATTTCTTTTATACCTCGACCAAACATCCGTATGTTCAATATTCTAGCAGTTCTGCACACAAAACCATTCATGAATGAACCATTTTGGAAAGAGCTGCTTGGCAACAAGATGGTTGTATAAACTGAATAAATAAATAGTCCTTAGTGCTTACAGTGCTGAGCTAGGACTGGGGAAATCCAAGTGCATGATCCCATTCAGTCACGAAGTTCACTAGGTGACTTTTGGCCAGCCATTATCCCATAACACAACTTGCTGCACAGGATTATTGTGAGAATAAAACTGGGAAGCATATACTATATCTGCTAAAATGTGGGATGTAAATGTACTCAATAAAGAAATAATAGCTTGTAACCCATCCTTTTTGTCTTGAATCTATGAATCACTTGTTAAAATATATTCTGGAAAAGCCCCTGAATCTGGTTCAAAATTAAGAGTAAGAATTATTAGCACTAGATTTAAATGTAAGTATCACCTGGAGAAAGATGAATTGCCTTTTGAATATTCTTTTTATTTTCAGCTTTGTGACATCCTATGGCCAGCTGATTAACTGCAGTATTCAGCAAGGCTTTCTAAACAAAAGAATATAGAGTAAATGCATATTTTGATTTTTTTAAATAAAAAGTATTGCTCCAAAGTAATATTCATATTTTTAATAACAAAAACACTAACCTTCCCATGATTTAGATCAAGAATACAAGCAACACTTGCTGCCACAGCCCCACCCTGTAAGATAAGAATGAATCAGAATAATTAAGAATAAGCCAGAATGATTCTGCTGCCTTTGGCAAAAATGGTCAAATATGCAGATTTAAATATTTTAAAATGATGAAGACATGATATGTAAATTGGTTCCTTTCTCGTCTTCCTTTGTACATCTTTGTTGACATAATGAGACAAATCTTAAATGAAAGCGCTGGGACTAAGTGAGATCTAGGGTCTTTTAACAGGCAAAACTGCATTCCCCCCCCCCCCCCCCCCC